TAAAAGTGTTTGTTGACGCGGCATACCTAAGTTTTTTGTATAAGCATCTTTCATACTCAGGTAGCCTTGCGCTAACGAGTATCAGCTATATGAACATCCTAATGTTATCTGGCGTACGCCTACGGTCCGCATCGTATTGAAGGAGCGATCAGCATACAAAAAAATTTTATTAAATTTTGTGAAGTATACCGATAAATTACAGAAAGTAGACGAATATCAAATATATGTGTGTGCCAATAATGTATGGACATCCTTTATTGTTCACATACCTAATGTCCATTTTAGTGATTATCCTCTGAGTCTGTCGTACAGAAAGGAGAAATACTTTTTTGATAAGTGTTATGTAGTAGGTCATTATCAATGTGCATTGTATAACCTACAACTGTCGTCAATCTTTCTGGTCTTATCCTTAAGGTTATCCGTATATCTTTGCGTAACACGATTGCATCTTTAAAGGTAATTAGTGCAATGCGATTATGCCTATCATATATTTTTCTGTTCTTCTCTCTCTCTTGTATGCGCGTATATAAAGCGTGTGCTTTGTGTTGTAATGTAGAACTGGAACGATAGTAGAACTGGAACGATAGTAGAACTGGAACGATAGTAGAACTGAAACGATGTAGAACGTGGAAAAGTGTTGAACGTTAACATCATGTACATCGAGGATAGTGGTAACACTATTCTTCCAGTTTCTCTTTGTGATCACAAATAAAATAAAAGCCGCAGTAGTAACGAATATAACTATCCATTATTATCATCAACATCAAGAAAATTCCGTGGCACGACATTTGCGCGCGTGACATTTGCGCGCCGACACTTGCGCGCCGACATTTTCGCGCACGACACTTGCGCGCGCGACACTTGCGCGCACGACTCTTCCGCGCAGCGACACTTTCGCGCAACGATATTTTCGCGCACGACACTTACGCGCGCGACACTTGCGCGCAAAATGTTTTTTTTCTACGCTTGACTTCAGTCTGGGTTGGATGTGACTACGGATGTGGCTTAGCATATAAGTGCTTGGTGTGGGTGTGAGGGTTAAGGATTACCCTAGTGTCAATTCTGATCATTCATTGAGAAATTCTGAAAGAATCTTTGAGGATCCTGGATTTTAAGGATCTCGTCAGGTTTTCTTCAAGATCCTGTCGCAGTTCTTGATAATTAGTTTTTCCAGGGTTTCGCACGGTTAGGCAAAGTTCTGTTCAGGATTTATCCAGGTTCCTATCGAGATATTTTTCTAAATCATGAACGCAGGATCCTACAAGGATTCACACTTAATCCTGCTTAGTATCCTTACAGGAATAATAGAGATGATTGTTTCAAGATTTCATGCAGTTCGGACGCAATCTGTTCAGAATCCTGATTGAATCCTGCTAGGAATCCTACCAGGATCTTGAAACTCTGTGGCTACATGCTTTTTTCAGGATTTAGTCGTTTCCTCAGGAAAAAAACAGCGAATCCTTCAAGGATCCTGATTCGATTCGTTGAGGATCAGACACAAAAGCATCAAAGATTTTCCCTAAGGTAGTGAAGATGCATCAAGGATTGTCTCGAACTACTGCTCTCCCATCGCAGTGACACCCACCTTCCGTCATCATCACACCCAAACCCAAACGTAGATCCATTCCATGAAAAGAAGTTTTGCGCGCAAGTGTCGCGCGCGTAAGTGTCGTGCGCGAAAATATCGTTGCGCGAAAGTGTCGCTGCGCGGAAGAGTCGTGCGCGCAAGTGTCGCGCGCGCAAGTGTCGTGCGCGAAAATGTCGGCGCGCAAGTGTCGGCGCGCAAATGTCACGCGCGCAAATGTCGTGCAACCGAAAATTCGTTACAATGTGCTCTTCTCGATTAAGAGATGGTCAGTTTCACTTTTAATTGGACTCAGTTTCAACTGAGTAGCTTTATTTCTAGTATATTATGAGCGGTGCTTACGGTGCTCGTATACCGGTGGAACGGTGAACGGTGCACCGCTACGCCGGTGACCGGTCCACCGGTATCACCGGTTGGTACGGTGCACCGGTGGACCGGTGAAACCGGTGAACGGTGAACCGGCGGACCGGTGAGACCGGGGAACGGTGAACCGTAGACCGATCACACCGGTGACCACCGTCACCGTTGCATCCCTAGTTCATATATCAAAATTTTCAATTTGAATTCATCAAGTTTGAAGTGTAAAATTTCTCAAAAAAGGTTCTCGATTAGTTTTTCTTTTCCAAATAAAAAAGAAGAATTAATATAAAAAGAAAATTTATTATTGGTACTATGTCTTATGTGATTTTTTTTCTTGATGTGAATAGATATTGAGATAGCGAAAAATTTTGAAAAAATGAAATACATATATATGAATTATAAGATCCTGTCTTATAATGATAGATGATGATATAGTATTTGGATATTCACTCAGTAGAATTAAGATTGAATAATAAAATGAAAATTGAGTTCGTGACAGAACAGAATAAGAATAATTCGCATATAGCCGAGTGGCTAAAGAGCTTGTATGACGCGACCCTGGTTCGAATCCAGTGCGAATCGTTTCTTTTTTTTTGTTCTGTGTATCCTTTTTTGCATTGATTTTTGTAAAAAAAATTTTTGCTTGGGTGCAGAGGTACCCTCTTGAGATCTTGACGGGGACGGGGGTAATTGACCACGCTGATTACGAATATGCTATTCTTTTTCTCCGGGAACTCTTCCTTCAAAACCGCTCCACGGTGATATGAATATTAATATTTATTCGTCAATTCACACAACTCGTTAATAAATTAAATTATTCTCAATTACAACATGAACAATGGTCTTACTATTATAATCTTGGCATGACCAAAGGTATTTGGAATGGATGAGTATCGAAAAAAATTGCCGATGTTAATTCAATGTGTTACACATATGGCCAATCCAAAAACTTAATCAAACAACGTCTTGAGAAATACAAACTACAATGTGATAAAAACCAAGAGGCTATTAATCAATATATTAAACAAACACCAATTATAATTGATATGCAAAATATTACCAGTCTCATCAATAATTTAGTGCATAAGATCAAGCTGAATTACGAGTTGAACTTGAGAGAAGAAAAACAATACTCCGATTAGATGCTAAAAAACATCTACTCGCTGAAAAATTTTATCAACTAAAGCCAAGACCAAAGGTGGTAAGCATACAAAAATGTTCTATTTATTCAAAAAACATATCAATGCATAGATAAATTCAGCAAAAATTATTTGGAAAGTTATCAATGACCAAAGAAACTTAATCCATGAAATTGTCATATTTAAGAAATGGCTTGAAGGCCATGCACAAGAATCATCGTACACTCTTCAAGGCCTACAATTACCGAATATCTATCATACATTCATAACACTAAGTTTTCAAGGACAAACTTCATCAGCCGAACAACTTACTCAAAAGACAATTGCGAAAGCCGAAGAAATTGTACAACACTACAACAATATAGCAATCTTAGAAAAAAAAACTACAATCAACTAAATCTCATCATAAAAATTATGATTTACTCGAGCTAATCATCCACATCATACTTCAACGTGAAAATAATATACAACAACGTCGTGCATACGAACTACAAGGAAAACTTACAAACATATTCTATCATATTGCTGACACGCCAACGGACGTCGAAGACAACATGCAGTATAACTAAAATGTAAAAAAAACTCTATCGTACTCAACCTGAACAATGTACCCTAAATAAACTTGTATATATGTCACACATATTATGAAATAAACTATTCCCACAAAAAAACTTTTCCATATGTAAATAAAACTATTCTTTCCATTTCAGATAACACACATGCAACTCAACATACGTTCATATCGAACCAAAATTTCCTAAAAACCAAAAACCGACCAAAATGCAATTCAATACATCGCACCACCCAACGAACCTATCACAGTCCAGATAATCCAGGTAACCACGCTTTCTACACAAAACTAGTTTACACCACCGAAATCGCCTAAGACCCAATATTCAGATAAAAACCATTCTATCCATTCGAAATTATCATTCAGTATCACACCACAAAATCAACATTCACATAACTTCATCAATATATAAGTCAGCCACATGAGAGACACTCCAACGCACCACAATGCCTACACATACCTACAACTACACTACCCAACAGTATTAATCACAAAACAATTTCCGACATTTCAAACTATCATCCTGACACTAGGATTCTATTTTCGATCAACTACATCCCAACTAAGACCACTTGACATAATTTCAGCCACCAACAATCGAAATACATTAACGCATCCAACCCATCATGCTAGCTACTAACACAAATATATTCCTACAACTGAATATACCTTCAACAGCAAAGCAGATTTTTTCTCACTATCATGTTTCGGACACAAAATTCGGCCCAAAGACAACTACTACTAAGATCACTTGATAAGACTGAGTTAGTAACATTCGAAATAATCCAAGGGTTATCGTGGTAACTTTTACACACCCACTTCTATTGTGAGTGTATCTGCTTTAGGTTTTCCTCAAAGTAGATATTTCAGGTATTATGTTTTGGGTTCGAAATTCAATTTTGAATCCATTTGAACTAGTACTAAGGCCACTTGATAAGATTGAGTTAGTAACATTCGAAATAATCCAAGTGTTATTATGGTAACTTTTCAACACTCACACCCACATCCACACCCTGAGGCCACTTGACAAAGATTGAGTTGAAAGTAACATCAGAAATATCATAAATTAGGTTATTGTGGTAACTTATACACATCCACACCGCACCCACACCCTTTACTTGAGTTAGTTTTGATTTTAAGCTGATTTAAATCATTTGTTTCCCTCTTGGTATGATAGCTCAAAATTCATCTCTCAGCATCAAGATTATCTTATACATTCTCGCGTGAATAACATTTTCTGATTAAAAAGATGAAGTTTGATTGCTTTTATTAGATGATGTACTTTATTTTGGAATAGAAATAAAATGTTGTTTATAATTTAATCAATGAGTGCCGGAGGTGTCTTCTACCGTATACATTGTTTTGTGGGTTCACGAACCCAGTGGAACTGGATTTGATCAACCAGCGACCCATATCGACCACTTATATACCATAAAACATAGCCTGGATACTGCTCAGTAAAGTTTGAGGCACCAGTACCGCCACAATATGGACTTGTTTTTCCTTTATTAGTAGTGAACTGTAAACCATCAACCAAATATCCAGTACTACCTGTAACCTTCACTATTCTTTCATCAGGACCCAATTCGAAGCTGTAATATACCCCGCCATCGCCACCCCTCTTCGGCGCTGGAGAAGATATTGCATCAGCTGTTTGATAAGTAATTTGAATGGAATCCACAGAGCTTCCGCATCTTACATTTATTGATTTAGGGATAGATATGCACGATGTGTTAATTGCATCTAAATCAGTAAATGGGCCTCCTCCATCACCTCCACGTGTTGGACCTGACAGAATATCAAGTTGTGCTAAATATCAAAAAAGAAGGAAACATACGATTATTACAAACTATCCAATTCATTCAGCAGTGTTTAGAATTCTTAGAAAAGAAATTATCGAGATTTTCCAGTTGAAAAAAAGAAATTTCAGAAATGATTACTAGAGGAATGAAACAGAGGCCATATCAAGCTGAACTTTTCTGGTTCGAGTTCGGTTTGGTTCGTTTATAATTTCGATTGAGTATACGTTAACATTGGGCGAGCATTGAAGAAGAATACCAACGAGTTAGTTACTTCTATTCATTACCCATGTGCACGAATCCGACGTTGGATCCTGTAGGGTCTTATAGGATCCGATCATCCGACAGAATCCCATAGGATTTCTGGTGACGGAACCGCGCTGGATTCCGTCGGCAATAGATGAAACAATCGACTTATTTAAGCCATTGAAAGTTAACCATACTGTCTCCAGCTCAATATATGCAACATTTCTTTAAGTCTTTCTCATATTTTCAAGTTTTGTATCTAAAAGAGGATCAGAGTTTTGTTTTCATATTCATATTCTTGTAGAGTTTCTCCAATTCTATCGACCCATATAAAAATATCTAGTAAAAAACATGCAGAAAATAAAATTTTCTCTCAACTTTAATGACTCAAACATTAAAAGAATATTTTTGTTTTAACAAAAAATCTAACATGTAAATACTTAGTAAAAATTAATAAAATGATCAACTTTTCAAGACCTCGGCACAATTTGGATCATTTTTTTCAAATGATAACTGTAATCATTCTTTACAAATCTATATATTTCTATGAACTATCTATATATGTATTTGTATAGATAGAGCCAATTTACAGAGAGGAATCAACACTTTTAGAACAGTTTTAAATAGTATTGCAATGTTTCTGCTACACTTATATCTGTTTCTGTAGCCCCAAACTGTTGGTGAAAACGAATGTTTTGATCACGAGCTATCAGACTATCAGAAAATTTCGATCCATTAAATATTTTGTAGAATATGTTTTGATATGAATACATAATAACTCGTGAACAAAACATTCGTTTCGCTGAACCTTTGGAGATATACTAAGGGCTATTAAAGCTGTCTGGCAGGAGGGAGAAGGAGAGTGAGCAAAATTTCAGCTCAAAACTTTGTGATTTCATTGCGCTGGAAGCATTTATCGTAAAGTCAAGAACTCAGTAAAATGGTGAAGATTCAAGCAAAACGAGCTGGCAACATAAACACTCGTAGAGTTATGTTAGTCTTACAAACGTTGATATGTGCGCAAAATATCATCTTCAAAGCAATGCTTGACCTGAGAAGTTTCCTCGTGAATGAAGTAATGGGCCATTGATGGTAAATTAATAAATTCTTACATATGAATCGGAGAACAATAAACCTTCAAGCATAAATTGATGAATCCTTCCATAGCAAGTGTGAAATAATAAGCCCTCAATGTTAGAATGGTATACGGAGATAGGCCGACAGCAATCGAAGATTCTCAAGTCTTGTTTATGGCCTTTGCTCTTGAATTTCATTTATAGTTTCGGATCGGATTTTAAACTCGGGTCTTGAGTTTTGGGTGTGGGTGTGGGTGGAGGGTGTGGGTGTAGGTGTGGGTGTGGGTGTGGGTGGAGGGTGTGGGTGTAGGTGTGGGTGTAGGTGTGGGTGTGGGTGTGGGTGTGGGTGTGGGTGTAGGTGTGGGTGTGGGTGTGGGTGTGGGTGTGGGTGCGGGTGTGGGTGTGGGTGCGGGTGTGGGTGTGGGTGTGGGTGTGGGTGCGGGTGTGGGTGTGGGTGTGGGTGTGGGTGTGGGTGTGGGTGTGGGTCGGGTGGTGTGGGTGTGGGTGTGGGGTGTGGATGTGGGAGTGAGTGTGAGTTGGATTGAAAACAGTTCTTGTGTCGTTATCCAGGCCCACACCTACATCCACGCCAACACCCACACCTACGTCCACACCAACACCCACACCCACACCCACACCCACACCCACACCCACACCTACACCCACACTTACGCCCTTCAACCCATCCCACATCCACACCCACACGCTCACAGCACAGTCACACACCCACACTCACACTCGCACTCACACCCTCACTCACACCCACATCCTCACCCTTGTTACAGACAGAATTCTGAATTTTTTTCTTTACGAGTATCATTTGAAAATTCTCGTTGTTAAGATGAAATATCGGTCTCATGGTAGCTCAACACAAAATTTAGATGTGATGCTCTTCAACTTTCAAGTTGAAAAGTTATAGAGTATCTTGTATTTTATTCGAAAAATCATTTCAGATTTTTTGAATCACCGATACAGATACTTGCCACTTGATAAGAAGCTTAAGTAAATCAGAAAACCTCGAGTTTTATGGTAACCCTACAAATCCACACTCACACTCACACTCATATTCAAAAGGCAAGTGCAATAAAAATTGAAATTTTTTAAAAACTTCATGTAAGAGATAACTAGGAATTCGATGTCAAATGTTGAACCATGAATGCCTATTTACCTGTACATTCGTGAACACCAGAGCCGTACCAAGCGTTACAACCTGTGTTTCTAATAGTACATCGAGGAATGGAACCATAATTAGCAGCTACACACCAGTGACATGTTTGAACCATAGAAAGGCAACTATAACAGTCTTTGTTAGAAGCACATAACGATTCTATAAAGATGAAAACAATGATCAGATTTTTTTCTGAAATTAACTTAATTGAATATACTCAGAAATAGGTTAATATCAAATCATAAAGAGACTTTAATATTTCTCTTAATTCGAAATACACAGAGTGCCTAATTATTTGCTTATAAAGCATTGTAATAATTCCGGTTAGTAATCTAAGCATTCCGTACTTTCAATAAGTATGACATTTCGAAACAAGAAATTACATTTTTCTTGGTTCTTTATTCTTACAAATTTGGTAGACTAGTTTGGTTTCTGTTTACCTCCCTTACTCACTTTTATGAGAAAAACCATTTTTTCCCTGATATAGAAAAATTAGAATTATTAGAGGAAAAACAGAAACGTAAGCGTAGTCTTCCGAAACTAAGCCATAAAATGATGACCATAGTGCCACTACTCTCCAATAGTGAACAGGAAGAATACATTTGGTTTAGATACTAGCTCTCATTGAACTATTATGAATCCGGAGCACATTTATAGTTCATTTAGAATTTTTAAGTCTCACAAATATTTCATTAGTATGAAACGAAACTTGAATGTTTACTTTTATGAAGCTTCATGTCCATATACGAATGTTAAAAAAGAGAAAACTTATATAAGGTGCCATGCGTGGAAGTCAAAATATTGAACATGATGAAGTTATTCGTGCTCCCTCATGGAGCCCATATCTGAAGAGATGAGAAGTTCATACTTTACTTAAACTTAATTGTACTTCAAGCACAGGCGAAATCTATCATCTAGAACATCATTTCCATTTCAAGTCTATTGCCAAAGTAAGCCAGAGCATATTAGCTTGAATTCATTTTTACGGAAGTTTGGTTTACACTAAAGCTTCCAAACTTGCTTATACCTCAATATTTCAAATCAGAAAAGGAGGATCAAGTATGTGAACTTTATGGAGAAAGTTTCTTACATAGAATTAATTCAGATCACTACATATGCGGTGCCTATTAATTTTAGACTTCGTATAGTTAAAAAATCATTTAAAACAGTTCTACTTTTTTGTCCACGAATGTTTTCTGTAGGGGGCATTTCAAGATTGTGTTCATCTGAGTTGAAACAAGTACTACTTCGATAGCACTCATCTAGTTAAAACTGCCAATTCAAGATGATTACATCGGTTCGCAATTCTAACAAATCGTTCATATTTTTTAGTTTTATTATCTAAAATATTTTTGAAAGATACTTTCTAAATCTTTTATCAAAAAACCAATCTAAAGCCATTTACGTGATCGACTTTTCTCGGAAAAAACAGCTTTAAGAAAAGTAATTTTCGGAAAATGGTTTTAACTTAATTGGTTTCGATGGGTCGGGATGAGACTTTCTGAAGAACTCTAATTCTGAGTTGCATATGAAGAACTAGCAAAATTGTAATATCACACTTACGTGCTGATATCATATCGCTACTCGAATTTGAAGTGTCGACACTGGATTTCAACCAACAGTTTTTGGTTGAAACTGAATATACAAGAGCGATACATCCATGAGTTGCTTGACATTTTGAACAACAGCTGGCGTAGTCGGGTTGTTGTACAGGAGAAGCTAATAAATCATTTCCAATTATGTCCCAGCCATCTTTCCGTTCGTAACCATAGCACGTATTCGCTTTCAGAACATAAATAAAAGGATTATTTTAGTAGCAATCATGAGATAAGTCAGACATTTTACAAAACTGCTCATATTCACTGAGGTTTGCTTTGAGTATATTTTTCGCTGTTTTTTATTCTTTCATCACTGAAGTGTGTGTGAATGTTAGAACCTCTTTATTTATGATAAGACAAAGACAGTTGAATATCTTAGTGCCGAACTCTTGCATTAGGCGTGGGTGTGGGTGCCATAAGGAAGACTTACACCCACACTCCACCAAAGACTTGCAGCAAGAAAGTGTCTGAACTACTTGGTTCATTGATTTACTTTTTGAAGAGAACTTTTGCAAGAAACAGCAGCAAGTAGAGGAAAATTGACAAGAAAAGAGACTTTTGATTTCTAAGAGTTGTGACAGGAAGTTCATCTGATGAATTAGGTATTACAAAGAAAAACTTCTGGTTGAAAAAGGCACAGACTGATAAGCAAATTTACATTCATTTTCGAAATTGTTATTACAAGCAACATGTATATCCTGGATCAACAAGAAAAATCTTCGTACAAATTTTCGATAACAAAACCTATTACAAGAAACTCGTCGAGATTTGAATTTTTCTGCATTTTTTTCAAAAAAATTAAGTACCTTTTATTGGAAACAACTCTATATGTCGAGTTCTTTTTGTTAATGACGTAGAATCTTTTAACAGTGATTTGGCCTACTTACGATTGTAGCCTGTGACAATATCATTATTTGGGTATCCACCAGCTCCCATGCCTATTTTCGGATGGCAGTTCTTCATCGATAGAATGTAATCAAAGGCAATACATTCTTGAGTATTTTCGCATATTGCAAGGCAGCTTAGATAATCTGATACTTTTACAGGAAAACCTGGTAAATCAAGTCCAGGTATTGCCCACTTGTTTTTACGTATAAAACCATTACACATGTCCGCTATATTAAGATAAACAAGCTATGGCCGTGAAAGTAATAATTGTATAAATGGAGGATTTTAAAAATGCACACTAGATTAGTTCTGAAGCAATCTATGTACGTCCGCTAGAAAGCTCTCAAGTAGCCCTGAGTCATTCCCATAGTGAGACTTTTAAAAGTTCTACGAAGGTCCTAACAGATCGCATACATCAGCTTAGTCAAAAACTTGTGAAAGAACTGTCTGAAGGAAACAGTCCTTTAGATCTGCACTAACAAGGAAAGGTCCCAGGTGTGTCCCGGGGGATTTCAATGAAAATGATATTGTTAAGTGGAGTATACCCATCTCAGGTGTGAAACAATCAGGTAACCTTAGTGCCTTAGTAAAAAATTACAGGTAAAACAGTTTTCAAAAATTTGACACATATTTTGCTATACAGATTTTTTTCTTATAGTGTTTTTCAAAATTTTAGTGCACTTGCTCTCTGAATGTTATATATTTCGTGCGATTTGTATGTACTCTGTTTTTTCTATATCGGCTTAGATCTTATTTATTAAATATATGTAATGTATATCTCTGTATATTCATGTGTTCTTCTCCAGGTCTTTGTAATCCCTATCTCCTTGTTTTTCTAATATCTAGCTTTCTTCTGTTCGTGTATTCGTTCGCTCTTTCGGACTATAACTAGCTCAGGGTAGTTGGAATAAACTATTTCATAACTTTCACGATCTCTAAAGTGATACATTACGGTGTTGTCAACATAAATATGATCAATATTAACAATATTCTTTACATGTTTAATAATCTGATGTGGCAGAAATATCCAGAAACCACTCAGACTGAGCCATCATCCAAAGATTGCGAGCTGGGGATCAATTATTTGTATTGTTTACCCAACTATTAATTTCAACAGAACTGCTGGTCGACCATATTGTGACCTTGGATTTCGATGAGTACACCGATTGCAGTGGTGATTATCAAGAGGAAGATGAACATGATATTGTACTCAACGTCGATGGTATAAAATATTCCTTTAACACTATGTGCACCATTGTTGAATTTTCAAAAACCCATGATTTTCCCACATTATGCAGGCGTTACAAACAAATAGAATACAAGGAACAGTTACATGGAATAAAGCAATACGTTAATGCTCAAGGTACAAAAACACAAAAATTTCAACGTGTCGATGATTCTGTTTACATGGAACTTATTTGTGCTTGAGAATGCTATTTGCCTATACACGATTGCGATTTAAGACGCTTGACTGTCAAAAAAGCACAAGACTTAAATATTGTTGGTTTTACAGCGTCTCATCATTGGATCTTAAACTTCAAACGTTGCCATCACATTTCATCAAGAAAAGTGACGAAGCTGGTAACAAAAACAATCATTTAGAAGATCAAGATAAAATATTGAAGTCTACCGAAAATTTGTCAAAGAAGTCAGAAATGTCATTCCCAATTATGCTGAAGATGATATATTGAATAGCGATCAATCTACTTTCAAGTAGGATATTTATGAATCGAAGTAGTTTCAATAAACAAAAGCAGAATTTATCAACTTGTAGCTATGACAATCCATCAACACGGGCGCTGACAACAATCGGTGAAAAAGTGGTAAAAGGCCAAGTCAAATCAATGAATGCTGTTGGTCATTCATATACGATTATGCTAACCATTAGTATGAATGGAAAATTAATTGATCCTATTTTTATATGTTTACAGGAGCCCACAGGAAAACTCGGACCACGTGTCAAACAATCAATTTATCAAGAACGTAATATTCATGTTACATACAGCAAGTTCGGAAAATTAACTAAAACACATATTCAATATTGGGCTGAAAATGGTTTAAGTCCATCGGTTTCGAAAGATTGTTTGCTACTGCTAGGTTGATGGTCTGGTCAAACTGATCCTACTATTTTCGATGATATTTTCGTTGAAAATATCATCTGCAAGCAAATAGAAATTCGCCCAAGAACAACCGGTGATATTCAACGCTTAAATCTTTATTTTTTCCGATAATGGAAATATTTTAAACAAGAGATTTATGATCGTATAGTCATCGATAAAATGGACATTGCCACCTGTTCTAGAAATTTCATTTTAAAAATGCATTCTTTGATACATAACCAACTCACAGCTAAAAGATGCTCATCTTTAATCAAATATGCGTGGTATGACAGTGGCTACATCTCAAAAGATCCTGGTCATTTTGAGAATATACACGACATGTGTTTTTCTTTCGACGACGATTTGTGTTCTATGACAGTGTGCAATGATTTGTCTTTCATTAGCTGTAGTCATTGCCATCGTATTCCCTGCTTCAGCCACTTTCTTATAGATGATCATAAACATTAATAAAAAAGACTTCTTGTTTGTTGTGCAATAAGTAACGCGTTATTTCTATTCATATGAAAATTGATATAAGTTGTAAAACAATCTCTATGAAAAGGTGTTATGTACACCTAAGACATTCAGTTGATGTTTTGTCTTCAATTATTCATGGCAAAATGAACAACGAAGAACATTAAGTAAAACTATTTGACACCTATAAAACCGTATATGAGTCGGCTCTAACCATCATCATCATACAAGAAAAAAATCTTTAAGAAAAATAATGAAGAAAGGTAGTCAAACGCACAAATTTGTATAGCAAAATATATGTGTCAAATTTTTGAAAACTTTTTTCCTATAATTTTTTACTAAGGCCGTAAGAGCACCTAATTGTTTTACACCTGAGATAGGTACACTCCACCTAACAATATCATTTTCATTGAAATCCCCGGGACACACCCGGGAACTTCTCTTGTTAGCTGAAGAACAATGAAGTTACTCATGTCTAGGGCATTATTAGGCATGCACCAAACCCAAACCGTTTGGGTTTGGTGAGTTTGGATACTGAGTTTGGGTACGGCTTGGATTTAAATTCGATGATGGTCCATGTATTTAAGCTTTTGATATACGACTGTTGATCAAACTCAAACTTGAACTCATAACCAAATCCAAACCCAAACCCAAAGCCATAGTCAAACCTATACCCAAACCCGAATCCAAGGTTAATTGTACTCCGTTTGAATAGCCTAACCCAATATTATATTATTATTTGATATATTATAGAGTACTATCTATAAAACTGAGAATGTGATCATTGAATATAATTATACAATATGTACAATTTAAAAATTTTATTTTTTCAAGTGGTTATCTTTGAACAAGGTTTTATCGAAATATGACTTTTCCAAGAAAAACTCAGAAGCTCTGTGCTTTTACTTCATGAGAATTAAAAGAATCCACAACAACACAAGATAATCAGTCATTTATATGGTACAAAAAGGTGTGTTGTAAAATGACATACAGTTTGAAAGTTAAACGAATCTCTATTCAAATAAATCTGATATTAATTAAAGAATACTAAAATGCATTATCCAAGTCATATTTGTTCAAGACATATCAATGAGCAGAACTAAATGATGGTAAAGAGAACTAAGATTATTGAAAGTAGTGCATCAATATGCTTTATAAGTAATTGACGAATAGATCGCAAATGAATCTATAGAAAAGATTCTCCACTTAAATTACAATTCAATAAAATATTTAGACATGAAGCTATCTATATCCTATTGGCATAGTTTTTTAAGAATAGCGTGACAGTTAAACATATACTGATTGTATAACTATTACATATTTCTTCCTACATTGCTCGGTAGAAATGTTTTGTTTAGCACCTATCATCGGTTTTAATAGTAAAAACGACGCAAGGTCGCATTGACTAATTTAGATTATTATTACATAAGAACAGTGATGGTTCACTCAACACTTATATTCCCAGGTCGATGATTCCAGTCAACGGATCCCACTGGAACCTACAGGAATCGGCGTGTTTTCCGGCTGATTCCCGCCGTTTTCCGTGCAATTCCTGCCGGAACCAACCGCAAAAAAAACTGGAAAGGGGGGCAGTATTCTGGCCGGAAAGTCACCGTACCAGGAACCGGTCAATTACAAAACTTTTCCTGTCACTAGAAAACCTCGGAAAATCCATCGTATCCACCATGGAACACACCGGAAACATACCGTATCCATCACGGAACGCACGGGAAACACATCGTTCCCATCACGGAATACATCAGAAAGACACCGTATCCAGCACGGAACACTCCGGACACACCGTATCCATCAAGGAATACACCGGAGACATATCATATCCATAACGGAACATATCGGACACGCCCTATACATTACGGAACAACCCGGAAATGTACCTGTTATGAACTGAAGTGTTCCCCTTCATTCATAAGACGAAACGAACAGAATAAGACACACTCCTTTCTAGTATAGTGGTTAGTGCGTCTGCCCGGAAAGCAGGAGGTGCATGGTTCGATTCCATGCGAAGGGAGATTATTCTTTTGTTTCGTTCTGTAGTCATGCCATCACGTTGCTGTCTCGGTGATAACAGAATATAATAAGAGGAGAATAAAGAACTAAAGGCGTAACAGTACCATATCCAACCTGGAATACACAGGAACCATAACGTATCCCGCACGGAAAACACCGTATCCATCAAGGAATACACCGGAAACATACCGTATCCATATGAAGGGGAGATCATGCCCCAAGCAGAGTCACCCAGAGTAAGAGAAATTCTCCTACGAAGACAGCGAACCTCCTATTTTCCAGAACGAACCATCGCACATGGCGCACCACTATTCATCGTGGAAACCATGAACCGAAAGTCGTCATGGGCACGCAGGGAAATCGTTCCCAGACCACTCCGAGCTATGTTTTCTTTTCGAGAATGAACCTTCACAAGCGGTGCACCCCTATTTTCTCCGGAAAACCATGTCTCAAAAGGAGTCACCGACAACCACGGCAATCGTGCTCCCAGGACATACAACTTTCCTTTTTCTCCCAATGAATCCCGACACAACGCCCATCTCTATTTATCGTGCACACCATGTCTCACAAGGAGTCACCCAGAGGTAGCAAAACAGTCTTCCGAGAACTCCGAACTTGAGCCTTTCAGAATCAATCCCACAATGTGGTACACCCCTACCTTCACTGCTGACCATACCTCCTAAAATATCATCGAGAGATATGCAAATAGTCCACCGAGGACCTCGAGGTTTGCTTTCCTTTTCGGAATCACCCCTAGCACGTGGTGTCCACCTATTTAACGTGGAGCCCATGTCTGAGAAAGAGTCCTCGAATGGTAGCAAAATCGTCCTCCGACGTCTCGCAACTTTGTTTTTTTCCAATGAACACCAGCATATGGTGCACCTGTACTTATAGTGG